ATTTATTTATATCTATATATTTAAAAGCAAACAAAGTCACTTATTTCATACCAGTGGTGGTTCATGACTGTCTATTGTGGCCCTCTGAGTAACAAATACAAGTTTACATAACATATTACATCATATTACAGTAAATTAAATATATGTACAGTTATCTAAATATATAAAATTACTTGTCCTGACTGACCGAGTCACTGATTCATCATCGCCCAGAGCAAACCGCCGAACCTAAAGAGGTGAAATTTGGTACACAGTTAGAGTACGTCTTGAAAACGCACACTAGGAAGGGATTTTTCGAAATTCCCATGCGGGGGGAGAGGGAGAGCATTAAGGTTTAACCAGAAGAACGGCTTCTACTGTACTATTTTAGATGCGATTTTTTGTTTTCAACTACGTTTAGTCTTCATTGAGTATTAGGTGTATTAAATTGATAACATTTCAGACATTGTTATAAATATTTTTATCTATTTCGATTTTAAAAATGTTCGAACGTTTTAAATTCGAATTTGGATTGCATATTGGTTCGATTATAGAACGATTGTAAACGTTCCAGAAAATTGATCAAATTGAAAATAGTTCATTTGATTCTCAGCAATTCTCTTCAGCGGTAGGTGTTATATAACAATTACTATGGTTATTGAAATATTGAACATAAATGGAGTTTGCTTGCAAAACCTCCGCGGACGAAGTTGCGGGTAACAGCTAGAGTGTATATATAAATGTATAAAGAAAAATAAAATAAAATAAAAATTATCATTATAAATAACAAAATATGTATATGAAAAAAATAAGCATAGGTTAATTAAATATTAAAATGTTATATAATAATACATTATATGAAATTCAATGAAATGCAAGATATGCAAAAAAATACTAAAATCAAGGCATTAAATTAAGAGCTGTCTAATCGTTTGATTAAGTATTTCCAGGCCGAAGGCAATCCTTTCAGAATCTCTAGAATTAATGCATGCATCATGCAATCTGCTCTTATATATTTCAATTTTTTCAGCGCAAATCACCAATGTTGGTGAATGTACTGGTTTAATAATACTTGCTTCGTCCCATTTGACGATTGAGCTTTCAACTTGCGCCAACTGCAATAGTATTGTGGCATTAGATCCCTTGCTGATATTGTATTTGTGTTCTTTTAATCTGACTCCTAAACTTCTATTAGTGACACCAATATAATTTTTATTAATGTCTAGTTCACAATTTTTATATGGAATCCATACAGGATTCCATATAAGCAGGAATGCACAAAAAGAGCAGGAGTGTATACTCCTGCTCTTTTTTCTTTATCTATGCTATCTTTGTCATTCCTTAATAATTTGTACAGGTTAGGAGCTCTCTTGAAAATTAACTTGGACTTTTTTGCGGGCTGAGATTTCCTTCATGATGGCTTTTCTCTTTCTATCCTAAGTGAACTTTGTGATTTTGCTGAAATTGCTGTTTTGAGCCTTAGTTTTCTTTATTTTGTAATTATAATTTGTTTATTACTTTATATGTTACTTTACATGTAAAAAACAATTGATATGAGAAATTGGAATATACCAAAGATTGCAAGTTTTATAGGTAGAGAAAAACTTTTTATGATTTGTAAGGCAAATATTTACCAAAAGAACAAAATCAATACAAGAAAATCTTCTCTTATTCATATTTTATATTATGAAATGTCATGTCTTATCCTTACCTCAATATGAATGTTTCTTAAGTACAGGTATACCTTGCCTTACGTTGGTAATTTGTTCCAGGAGAGGTGACATAAGTCAAATTTACTTGTCACTAGGCTAAACCACAAATAACCATTCCCAGTTCTGTATTTTATTTATAAATGCATTTTTAATAATATGGTTAATAAGAATCTATTGTAAGCTTACAAACAAATAAATTTTTAAAAAATAGTACAGAAAAAAAAAGTAATCTAAATTTACAAATACATGTACTGGTACATAATATTTGCAAATATACATGTTTACAATTTGGCGATGTTTACAGTACATCACAGACTCTTTATTTGTGAATGTAGTTTGCTCTAATACATTATAAAATAAGATGATTTTGTAAGGTTAAATAACAAATACAGTAGTACCTCAGGATATGAATGCTTCAGCGTACAAAATTTTCAGGATACGACATAAAATTCGAACACATTTTTGCTCCACAGTATGAACAAAAACTCACCATATGACGTTACATTAGTTCACAGCGCCACTGCCACAATCATGTATTCCTTCTGTTCATCAGTCTCAGTCTGCGGTGTTTGCTTTGTCGTGGAAGGATCTCACTCGATAAAGGAAATCTTGAGGTATTATCAGAAAGTGACTGATTTTATTGAAAAGAAACATCCTGAAAAGGTTCACACTGACCGTATTGCTGCTCAGTTTAATGATATTTGCCTAAGTCATTTTAGAAACATTTAAAAAGTAGACAAAGCCAAATATCTTTGGATAGATACTTTACCAAGCAACCTCTATCCAGTGAAAGTGCTGGTGGAAGTGAAAAAAAGAAAGCAAAAAGCAGTGAATAAAAAAGTTTTAAAAATTATATAAAACAGAAAAGATAAAATAATTAGTGTTAAGTTATTTTTAAGTTATTGTTACATTATGTTATGTAAGTTAAGTTTTAGTACCATTTCCCTTTTCCCTCTCCTCCGCCACCAGTTTACAACTCCATCATTGTCTATCCTCAAAGGTAAAGTGCAAATAAAACTACACTTTTTATTAGTTATTATTCTATTATGGTTATTTATACATTTACATCTACAAAATGCATTTTTCAGTGTTTCCCTTACTAAAATTATTATTTTTTTTTAATGTACTACTTAGCTTTAATTTGAGTGTGTTTTTCTGGGAATGGATTATTTGGTTTTACATGTAATCATATGGGGAAAAATGATTCACCTTACGACATTTTCATGATACGATATCAGTTTAGGAATGGATTAATTTCGTATCCTGAGGTACTATTGTATTTATATTTAGAAGCAAATTACTTTGGCTTTTATTGTTGGTGAAACCATCTTATAATAAGCTTGGTCGAGCTGATCTGATAGTATACTCCACAAAAGTGAATCAAATATTAATTTTGTCTAAAATAAATTTTATAAATTCTTGGAATCAAGTAGTTGTTGTGCATGCACATGGACATGCACAATAAATGGATTGAATGGAACATAACACTTGTGCAATGTGACTTCACTTTCGTTACCTATGTGCATGGTCATCTGACAGATGGACAAAAGTCCTAACATAAGCACTTTACCACTATAGTGGAGTGTGCTAGAAAAAAACTATTCATTATAACAAAAAATTAAAGAAAGTTAATTTAAAAGCAATTTTAAATAAATTAAATATAGCATATATGTAATATTTACATAAAATCAATTATTTTCACACTTCCAGAGAGAAGTTTAAGATATAAATGAACAAATGTTTTTGATTTATTTCATAAACATGCTTCCATCATGGAATTTTAAAGCATTGTATTTTTTAATACTAAACCTGAAGCAGAATCAGGTTTAGTATTTTTGAATACTAAACCTGAAACAGATCTTGTGATGTTTAAAAATTTTTTTGTTGCATTTTGGTTTGTAATCCATCAAGTTTTTGAATGTTGTAGAGTCTACATGACTATTTAATTTGTCTGTAATTGTCCAAAAAAGTGAAATAAGTCTGGTTTACCAAAACAGGTCTTGTANTCAATACTTGCAGGAAAAACAACAAAAGTTATTAAATAAATGTAGAATATCATTTATTCAGATGGATTACTGAAAATTAAACTTCATTCTTTTGAATCTTGATATGGTTAATGTTTATTTAAAATTTAACATGGAAACTATTCAGATTATCAGTTACTAAATTTTGTTGTTTATCTTTCAGTCCTTTTATTAGTTTTCTTTATGATTTTCTTTTATTTTTGTTAAATATTTTCTTATCTCTATTAATGTAAAGTTTGCTTCTGTATTTAGATATACCATATTATTTTATATTCTGTATTTTTCTGTATTAAAAAGCACTTATGGATGGAAAATGTTACTTCTTATAATCATTCTTGAATTTAGTTAAAAAGTTGACTAATTTTAAGATTTGATTTACTGTTTTATGTGTAATTAGATAGTGCAATACTTTTTTATATACTTTAAAACCTTGTTAAGTTGAACTGCATTAACTTGTTAACTTGAAGCTGTCTACATGTCCTGGGCATAGTGTATAGAATATTCCATGTAATACAGTCTCGTTAACTCAATATTCTATTTTTTCATGATTTCTCCATTTTTCATATGTCCTTGATCATTGTTTTCTCTTATATTTCATATGAATACAAGTAGTTAAAATAAACAAACACTACAGCTTCATGTTGAACCCAACACCATGCCATTACTACTCATGTTAACATCCTTTAACTGATTGTGTTCCAATCAGAATGCCAGTAACACTAACGAGTTCCTTCACAACACACTCAAAAGCACCATACAATTTTATAATCAATCTGTAAACAGATTTTTGAGAAATGGCTTAATAAATGGAAATTTAAGGCCACAGAAAAATTTGAGAAAAGTTAGTATTAAACTCTTTAACTCAAAGTCAGGATATTTTTACCCCTTAAACTTACAGTGAAACCTCTTAGTCAATTTCCAGAAATACTTGTTGCTAAATAGAGGGAAATAGAAAGCTACAAAATATTTTTCTTAAATCTGTATGAGAACAACTTAACTCAAAATGGTAAGGTATACCTGTATATGATTTTATTATTAAATTGAAAAAAAGAAAAGTCATTTTTTCCAAATGAACTACCAGATTTTTATCAGGATGAACTATGGCTACGATAAAAATTAGGCAGATTATTTAGAAATTCTATATCAGGTTGGTTGTTTAGAAATATATCAGGTTGGTTGTTATTTATACAAGAAAAACATAATAGTAATATCATTTTTAGAAACATAAATAAAAATCTTTCTTAAAATTGAATATAAATTGATCAGTTATAAATTATATTTTAAGGATTGCCCATTGGTGGATTCCACAGTTAATTCGTACAATTGTCTACAGTGAAATATTAGATAAATATATGCGTGTCACTGTTACACCCAGAACTTTGAAATTGATTGATGATCATTATGGATTTGATAATTATATTTTAAAGGTATGTATTTATTTCTCAAATCCACAGTATGCTAGAACTGTAATGTAAATATGGTAAATGGTATTTCTATCACACATTAGAAATTTTCCAGGCTTGACTTATATGCTGCAATTTATGGTAAACAAATCTTGATAACATGAATTAAGTTTAGATATTTCGGACTTTTATTGAATGAATTATTTTGAAATATATCTTGTTGTTTTTTTTATAAATTTATTATTATATGTAATAACAGAAAAGAATATAATTTGTAAGAAGTCAATCAAAATAACTTGAAAATGTACAGTTACTATTACTACAGTGCTAATTAACTTTTTTCTGTATTTGATTAAAGAATAGTTTATTTTAATATTTTTTTAAAATAGTCATTTTTTCTATATACATAAAAATATGCATTTTTATTCATCATATTATTTATATACATTATGAATACAAAACAGTTATAAATGTCAGAATTCTATATTTTCCCCATTTCATTTGATCCACCTATATTTATATACATAAATAGACTTATTTAGTACAGTCAGCTTGCATAATTTACTAAATAAAGTTAAATAAAATAAAATTTATTTACAAAAACAAATTAATTTTCTAAATGACTTTGAAATCTCTGTATACTCTCTTTGATATGCAAACTAGCATGTCTTTGCATAGGACTGCATCCGTTTAAAGGGATAGATGCCTTAAACTTTAACCTCTATTTTCTGAGTACAGTGGAATGGTCCACTAAAACCAGATGTTTGAATTGTTCTACAATTGGAAATTCGTTATCCTTTTTATTTGTTGTTGTAAATGTATGTGAATTACTTATGGTATTTTGTTAAAGAAGAGTGATGATGATAAAATTTTTGCATACAATCAGAGATTGAACCCATCTTTGTTTACTAGAAAAAATCTATTCTACTCAAAATGGAACATTTATTACAGTACCACTTTTTATTGTATTACTTCATATCTAATTATTAACTTAGCCTAATTATAGTCCAATAATTTGAAAGAGCCTAATTATAGTCCAAATAATTTTTAATTTATAATTTTAGAGAAGTCAAAACTTTATTTGTAGATAAACATTTTTTGAGTTGCTGAAATGCTAATAGAGTGAAATTATGTTAATTTAAGAATTTATTGTAAGTGGGTGAATTCAATTAAATTATATATATATTTATTTATTTATTCTGTTTTATAGAGAAAATTTTTCAATACTTACAGGAAAAACAACAAAAGTTATTAAATAAATGTAGAATATCATTTATTCAGATGGATTACTGAAAATTAAACTTCATTCTTTTGAATCTTGATATGGTTAATGTTTATTTAAAATTTAACATGGAAACTATTCAGATTATCAGTTACTAAATTTTGTTGTTTATCTTTCAGTCCTTTTATTAGTTTTCTTTATGATTTTCTTTTATTTTTGTTAAATATTTTCTTATCTCTATTAATGTAAAGTTTGCTTCTGTATTTAGATATACCATATTATTTTATATTCTGTATTTTTCTGTATTAAAAAGCACTTATGGATGGAAAATGTTACTTCTTATAATCATTCTTGAATTTAGTTAAAAAGTTGACTAATTTTAAGATTTGATTTACTGTTTTATGTGTAATTAGATAGTGCAATACTTTTTTATATACTTTAAAACCTTGTTAAGTTGAACTGCATTAACTTGTTAACTTGAAGCTGTCTACATGTCCTGGGCATAGTGTATAGAATATTCCATGTAATACAGTCTCGTTAACTCAATATTCTATTTTTTCATGATTTCTCCATTTTTCATATGTCCTTGATCATTGTTTTCTCTTATATTTCATATGAATACAAGTAGTTAAAATAAACAAACACTACAGCTTCATGTTGAACCCAACACCATGCCATTACTACTCATGTTAACATCCTTTAACTGATTGTGTTCCAATCAGAATGCCAGTAACACTAACGAGTTCCTTCACAACACACTCAAAAGCACCATACAATTTTATAATCAATCTGTAAACAGATTTTTGAGAAATGGCTTAATAAATGGAAATTTAAGGCCACAGAAAAATTTGAGAAAAGTTAGTATTAAACTCTTTAACTCAAAGTCAGGATATTTTTACCCCTTAAACTTACAGTGAAACCTCTTAGTCAATTTCCAGAAATACTTGTTGCTAAATAGAGGGAAATAGAAAGCTACAAAATATTTTTCTTAAATCTGTAAGGGAAGGTGGGGAAAAATGAGATTGGCTCTTTTTTCATAAACAGTTACATCCATCTGTGTAAGGAAAGTGTCAACAATTAGCATGCATTCACAGCTTCAGTTTAAGGTTACAGTAGTCATATTTGAAAGGATGGTGTTTGAATAAGGTTGTATTCTTTACTATTTTTCTTCACAAAAATATTGAAAGCATACAATAATGGCATGATAGGAATTTTATACAATATTTGAAACATTAAGTTTCATTTAAAACGTTGCAACAGTTCTCACATGGTAAATGCTTTTTCAAAATGGGTGGCTTGGAAAAATGGGGTAGTATTTTGTTTTGCCCATACTCCAGTAGAGAAGTGTCAACCTGGCTTCATGAACATCCTGGATGGACAGTGACTATATATCAGACAGCTGAGCTAGTTGCAAAAGCTTATCTTAAAGCAGTTAGTAGCATCTTAAAACACTTCCAGTTGCAAATATAGGATTTGCAAAAGCAGGAATCTATTCTCTGAGAAATAGCATTTTTGAAGCTCATAAATTTGCACCTGCAACAGTCACTGAGAATCCACTCTCTCCTGGGCCATTTAGTCTGAATGAAAATCTAACAGACCAGTTAAATCCAACTGTTTCAACTCAAATAAATCAACTGCGATAGCTAAACAAATTACGACTTTATTACCTCCTTCCATATTCATAACCACATTCTCCATGGAAGCTAAAGCATTCATCTTTAATAAACTAAAAGACCTTCCCACTAATTCATACAACTTGTAAAAAGTTGATGTCAAGTCCTTGTGTCCATCAGTACCATATTTCAAGGCCGTCATGCTTGCAAATACACTGCTGCTCAATTCAGGCTACCAACATCACACATAATACATTTATGTGAAGCCCTCTTTCTCATAACTGAAAACAGTTATTTTCAACTTAATGGCACACTATATAAACAAATACAGAGAGTGCCAGTGAGTTCTCCTCTATCACCTATGTTGGCAGAGCTCATTATGCACAACATTGAACATTGTATTTTCAATGCCTCCTAGACCATTCAATACTCCACTGAACTTAAACATGGCTGCTAAAGATGGAAATGAGTCTTTATCAGAGAGATAGCAGATGAAAAGTGAACGAGGACTTTTGTATATTTCACCAAAAGACATTATTTTAATTCCATGTTTGCAAGCTGCCTGTATTATTGTGGTATTTATGCTGAATCTGTGAGTGGAGATTATGTGACCTAAGGGTCGACACATCTTTAGTGCCTTGTCAGGATTGACACCACTGTGTTTCAGGGAACATGGAAGCTGAGATGGCAGTTATAAATGTCGCACTGTTGTGCAAGCAGCTCCATAAGTGGACTGACCGATTCGTAATGTCAGCCAATCAAGAGACAGCATATGGAAGTGACTCAGACTCTTAATTAAATTAATTAACAATTAATAATGATTTAATCAAATAAAAAAAAAAGTTGAGAAGATACAGAATTTCCAGATTTTTCATAGCGAGAGAGAGAGAGAGAAAGGAGAAAATTCACATAACGGGCACGAGTTGAATAAATACTTTGTGGTGGAAGTGGATATCCTGATGGAGCTCTTGTCAATTGATGCAGCTTGTTCACTTGATGATCCATTTGAAACTAGTATCCAATAGAGGGCAACTGGCCAATATCAGGCGATATCAAAATAAAGTGTATTCAGATAGTCACTGATCTTGATTATTTGGAGGGATTTGTTTCTCTCTGGTCAATGATATTCTAGAAGGGATCAGTTATGACTCTCCTGATCAGAGGGATTGATGATGACTGGCTTTTCCTTAGTGATATCCACAGACGATATTGGCCATCCAGAGGTTAATAGATCACGAGAAAGCATAGTGTTGCCTTCGAGAAAATGTAATGGGAGACTTTCTCAGGTAGCTACAAACAACGATTGTTATGTAACTTGGACAATATTAATATTAAGATCTAATTTTGATATAGGAAGTTCGGCTACATCACAATTACATTGCATGCACTCAATGTCATAGTTGGGCACATGATGCAACAGATGAAAATGAAAATGGGACAGATGAAAATGATTGTTCATTTATTGTGTGTGAAAAAGTGATTTATGTTTAATATGTTCTGTTATTTAATAAATCTTTAACTTTATTTAATAAAATGATGTTAAACAAACAAAATGTTTTTGCCATACAGTTACATACCCCATTTTGCCCATGAGGGCAAAACAGGACTTTCAAAGATATCTTTAGCACATTATTAATTAAGGTGTTAAGAACTAAACTACATGGTATATAACATAAGTAACAGACAAGTCCATCTTAATAATGTTTTTTTTTTTTTTTTTATTTTAATGAAAACAGTTATAAATTTCTTAAATGCCCCATTTTGCTCTATCTTTCCTTACTGAAACTGATCTATCATAACTAAGTAGAACATGTCTCTGTCTTTTAAGCACACAAAACAAAATTCTCCCTTTATAGCTAATAACAGAAATCTTTTGCAATGATATACAATTAGCCATGTGAACAAATCTCAATTCAAAAGATGGTAGAAACTTATAATATTTTATAAGAATCATTAGATATTTTAATGTAACTTTAATTTCAGAGTTAATTCACATACTCAAACTTACTTACCAAAGCTTACTAGATTACTAGATTTAACATTTTTATTACTAAAATTGATAATTATACCACTTTTTTGCTTGAGTCTAATGTGCTACTTAATGCAATGCTTATCTCATTTTCATCAAAACTCAAAAAAGTTAGCTTGCAAATAAATATCTTTATCACTAAACATACAGCTGTGGGAAGATAATGTATTCAAGCATCAAAAATGTTTTTATTGATGTTACAGTACTTCATGATATTTACATTTCTGAATATATTTATTATATGAGACTATTCAAAACAATCCACTAAACAATGCATTAATTATAAACAAAACATACTAACCTTATTGCACTTTGCACTAATATTATTATTAGAAGGGCCCACACACATTGTAACAAAGAGCAAGACAAGCAGAAGTAAATAAAAAGAATGGCTGAGATTTCTGAAATGCATGGCTATAGTAAAGACTTAATATATAAAATGGCAAACAAACAGAGAAACCAACTCAAGGATGAATTGAATAGAACTCCAATAAAAAATTATTCCACAGAAAGATACATCTCCCTACTGTATTATTATAACATATGAATGCCATATGCATTCTTGTATTGAGAAATTGAAGTATGAAGTAGAAATCACTTACAGATGTAAGCCTGATACATTCAAAATGCTTAGGAATGAGAAGGATCAAGTGGACATAGAAAGAACACCGGTGTATATAAAATTCCACTCAAGGATAACAGGTTTAATAGAAACCTTGTATACATCGGGTCTACAAGTATATTAAATTACTATGCCTTAATTTTTTTAAACTATTGTACTATAATTAAAGTTAATGTTTTTACCTTTTTTAAGGTATTTATCTTTTTATTCTTTCTTTAAAAAGGTTATCTGAAATTGTTCTGCCCAATTGTTTTGGATAATCAATACTGTATCATATTTTACACTTCCCCATTACAAAAACTTCTACATCAAATTGATGTAAAAATTTACGCTTATCTGACAAAAAATTTAACTTAAGTATATAATGATTTACATTTGTATGCAAACATTTAGTTTCATTATATCTCTTATTTAATTGAGTGTGTAAATATTATTATTGCTACTTTATTACTTTTTTAACAGACTCCAGTTCAAGATCTTAAATCACAGTTAGCTTTAGATTTGAGAAGATTAATGTTATTGACTCTAGTTCGTCGTGAAATGTATCCTGATGATCCAGAGAAACAGGAAAAAATATATAAAAAATATGAAGCATTTATTATTCCAGTAAGTATTATGTTTAACATATAAATATTATGTTTAAATCAAATTATAGTTTTTTGTTCATTTATGTATAAAAGCAAAAAATAAATAAATAAATCACTGCCAATTTCAGGAAATCAACTTTTAATATTAGTCAATATTAATTAATTAAAACAAATGTTCTCAGTCTAAATCTGGCCGTAATCAGCTAAAATCTTAGATATTTAGAATCTACTTCAGAATAATTTAGCATAGAATATATAAACTGACCACTATTCTGACCTGAGACCTTTAATCAATGACTTACCAATTACAATATAATAACACAATAACAATGTGAATTGTTACTGTGATTGTTGTCAGAGAAGAACAATAGTGTAGACTCTGTCACAGATTGTACTTTTATGGAAGAGGGATCAGCAAAAATACCGATTCAAAACATTGCATGCACTCAATGTCATAGTTGGGCACATGATGCAACAGATGAAAATGAAAATGGGACAGATGAAAATGATTGTTCATTTATTGTGTGTNTTTAGCATAGAATATATAAACTGACCACTATTCTGACCTGAGACCTTTAATCAATGACTTACCAATTACAATATAATAACACAATAACAATGTGAATTGTTACTGTGATTGTTGTCAGAGAAGAACAATAGTGTAGACTCTGTCACAGATTGTACTTTTACGGAAGAGGAATCAGCAAAAATACCGATTCAAAATTCATTTAAATAAAATATTTGGGAATAAAATGGTCTTCTGAATAATTCTTGAACTCGGATGAACATCAGATTCAAATGACATAACATTTTGTTTCATTCTCCAAAAAACCCCCTTTTTAAGTGGTCATCAAATTGACTGATAGCATATTTATCCAGCAAACATTGCTAATTTTAGCTTAGCACTAAAAATATTGATAGTTTTTCATCATAGTTTTATTCAAATTTTTGTTGTTTTTATAGCAGTGTTCATTTTTCATATAAAAATTAAAAATCAAATAAATATATTTTCAGTTCCTTTTGTCCTTTCCAAAACCAATTTTCTCCCTTCAAAGTGGGAGTCCTAGATCATAGAATAATAGGACTGTAATCCCACCTACAATGAGAGCCCCAGGTCTTGGAACAATAGGATTATAGGATTTAATTAAAGTAAATTAATCCTATAATTCGGGAATTCTACCAGGAGTCTGTAGATGGGTATAAATACAACAAAAAATGACCTCAGTGATGTTTTAAAAAATTTCAATTCTGTGTTGTTGGAATCAGATCCTCAAAGAAAAGGTTGGCATCAAATGTATAGTGTATATGTGTTTTTTAATATCATATCACAGGTTTTTAACAAAGAACTGTTTGTATCTTCATGTTGTTAATCATCTGTATCTGGTTGGAATGTTGAAAAAGGATAAACACTTTAAAATGACCAAAAATTATAAAAATAAATTAATCCTTGGGACTTGATAATTCATGTAAACATTAAAGTGCATTGTCAATTAAGAAAACTTTAGTAATATAGTTCTAATCAAATAAACTTTTTCTTCCAGGAAGAAGAAGCTGAATGGTTTGGTCTTTCACTTAGAGATGCCTTTGAAAAACAAATAAGTATAGAAAAGAGTGTGAAACCAGTTCCTTTAAAACAAATCTACAGAAAAGAATTGTTTGAAAAGTTAAAAGGTATAGTTCATGATTTAGATATTTTGTAAATTGTCTGTATTTATGCTTAAAATATTTTTGTATAAAATGTTCATTATTTTTTTTTTAGCAAGTATAACAATATAAAGTTTTTATTTAACATATTCAAAACTGTCAATTAATAGAAGTGAACAGTGCATTGATTAAATAAATTTGCAGTAAAACCTCATTAAGTTGAAGTTTGAGGTAAAAAAAATCCCAACTTTGAGTTAACAAGTTTAATATTTGATTAACTCAAATTTTTCTGTGACTGTAGATTTCCCATTACTGTCATTTCTCAAAAACCCATTCACAGAATGATTAAAAAATTGTATACAGTTTATGGCATTTTTGAGTGCGTTGTCAAGGTGCCCTTTTGCATCTCAGTTAGAATATCAGTAACATACTGTATCAGTAAAAGGATGTCAATGCAAGGTTTTAATGGCCTAGTGTGTTTGACACAGAGTCATAGTGTTTGTTTATCTTAATTGTTTGTGTTCATACNGGCATTTTTGAGTGCGTTGTCAAGGTGCCCTTTTGCATCTCAGTTAGAATATCAGTAACATACTGTATCAGTAAAAGGATGTCAATGCAAGGTTTTAATGGCCTAGTGTGTTTGACACAGAGTCATAGTGTTTGTTTATCTTAATTGTTTGTGTTCATATGGTATATAAGAGAAAATGAAGATCATGGACCTGTAAAAGGGTGGAGGGTACATAGGTAAATAGGTTTGGTTTGAGTTAAAAGTACGAACAATTTAAACTTAATGAGGCAATACCATGTGACCAAAGAGTCGGCATCAGATCAGCAATGCCCACATCAGGACCGACACCAATGTGTTTTAGAGAGAACAGAAATTGTGATGGCAGTTATGTTTTATTTACGACGAGTGGTCACATATGTAAGCAGTCGGATTCAGAAGGTAGGACATCTGAGAGACAGCATGTCTGAAAGAGGTGCACACTACAACTCAATTATAAAAGAATAATACCCGTTTATTTATTTACATTTAGATATACGTACAGTACATAGGATAACACATAGCATTTCCATTATAGCTTCTATATAGCATAACATAATTGATAAGGCTTTACATAGCATAACATAATTGATAAGATTTTACATAGTATAAGATTTTTAATAGATTTTCTGTATAGTGAAAAAGTACTATCGAAATGGGACCCTAGCTGTGAGATAGAGAGAGTTTATATTTCTGCACAAGGTGATAAACACCTTGATAAACTTGATTGTTGAGTTGAAATTGAGGTCAGACTATCGTAGATTATTTGATGAATGGATGATGAAATTCAAGTTCATTGGGTTGGGCCAAATAGTGTTCCTAGCTGGTATAGTTTGAAAGTCCAGTACAAAACAGCTGTGGTCTGGCAAACGGCAGCAGAGGACGGGATCGGCGATGGGGAAGCACGCTCGAATATCAATTCTCAAGGATGTGGATAAGTGAACTCTCATTGTCATCCTCGATGCCATTCTTTTATTTTGGGGATCCTCCCCCTTGATTTTGATGCCCATTTTAGGCAATGTTAAGTTTTTTGACCAATAGATGAATTTTGGATGAAATTTCCTGGTGACACACATTTGGAAGATGTGTCTTCTTTTGAAAGGAAGTGAATCTGGAGAAAAATACAATCACCTCCTTCTATTTTTTTTTATTGTGTTGGGAAAAATATATTTTTTTTATATATAATAGGAGAAATTTAAGCATTATTCTTTAATAAATTTATATATGATGTTGTTAAATAAACTTTCCATCCAGTTTAGGCTCTCAGAATTATATGGAAAACTCTATATATTGCACCTGGTACCTGTAGACAGCTTCAAGTTAATGCAGTTCAACTTAGTAAGGTTTTACTGCATCAAGAATAAATTATAAATAATTATTCACATGCTTTCACTCAATATATATATTTGTATTTAACATAGAGTTAATACATTAAAGTTATGTGAATATCAGTACAAAGCAATTTATTTATCACATTACAGCTATTAAATTTGCATTTTTATGCTTCTCAATCTACTTGTATATAATTGCTCTGATTATTTAATTGTAAACTTCTGTGCCTGATCTAAAACCTGGATATGGAGAATTTTGACATCTTATAGGAATCAAAAGTGTTAGAAAATATACTATTGTATGTATGGATTTATAAAATATTAGACAAGTTCATATATTTGTTTATATTTTGATCAATTTTATTCAGAAATCTATTTAAAATGAAAATTGTTTCCATTTTCTGTTAATCATTCTAAGTCTATTCAGGATGAAGATCCTTTCTATGATTTTCATCCTAAACACAATAGACTTAGAATGATGAAGAAAATCAAATCAACTAAACAGTTGGCTTACTGTTTCTTAGCTCAATTTATCACAAATTAATCTAAACATAGACCAGTTATTTATTACCTATGAATAAATATTTTCTTGTAAAATATTCCAACAAATTACTGATAACTACAGATTCCATTACAAGTAGTACTGAAATCAGAATCTCAGTAATATTAGCTAAAATCCAAAACCAAAAGTACTAAAATCCACTTTTGAAATTTTTCGGAAAATGGCAAGTGTCAAATTTTAAAAGCCTTCAAATTAAAGAATCCAGTTAGAACGGATGGTATAAAAATAAGCCTGAAGAAGATCCCAGGAGGGGAATCAAAAACATTTGCCGATTTTTTAAAGAATTTCACGCCGATTATTGGTTAATTGTAGATTGTTGTTTATTTGAAACTAAAATACCAGTTGATCAATACAGTAATTTTATATTAACTTACTAGTGTTTTACACCTGTAATACTACTAAAAATATGTTAGTTATCATTATATTGTAAATCTACTTGCATATTTATTGTTTTGTAAAATCAAGATGATAAAAGTCAGATCCTGATATTTGACTGTATTGCAAATAAGTGGTTACTTTTATTAAGCATTCATCAACTATTCAGGGCAAATATCTTTCTTTTGACTTTTTTCCTCTTAATATCTGATTTTAGTTTATTATTCTGTAAAAATGTTTTACCAATAAGTATGGAGTAAGAGTCTTTTCCACATCATTGCAAGTTACAAAAATTTGCTTACACTGTTATTGGATGAAAGCATTGATAATTTGCTTTTTTTGGATCATATCATACTTATATAAAAGAAAGGGATTGATCAAACAGACTATCATTGCTCAGACATAAAATGTGTGAACATGCTTTGTGACATCATTTCATCTACAGTGAAATATTTTAGAATATTCACAAAAAAATGGATGGAAATAATTTAAGTTTTCTATTAAGAATATTGTATTCAGTGAGATATTTGAAAATTAATATATAAAAAATCCATATTTCAAATAATTTTCAAAAACTTTATTCCTTTCACAAGTGATTTTGTAAAGTTAAGGAAGAAAAGATGAATAAAATTTATGAAAATATTTAGAGATTTTATTCAATATGAATGAGATTCAAAATTGTAATGACTTTGATATCAAACTTATTGGCAAGTCATATTCTGATCAAACTGAATATTTAATGGGTTCTGGCCAGTTTTATAACTAAAAATAAATGATTATAGTTAAGAGTTTATATGTATTATCAATTTATGTTTTGTTTATATAACAATACATTTTTGGTTTTTTCTTTCTTTTATTGCAAATTTTGTAATGTATTTATTATATAATTTAAGTACTTTCTTAAATATACTAAAATTGTTAAATATAAGAATCAATTGTCATCATCAAGCAAACATATGTTAGTTCTTAGGACCTGGTCTCATCCCATCTTCTTGTTTCTCTCTCTTTGTCCATGAGATTTGTAATTTAAAATTTTCTTGCAATATCTTACAGTAGCCATTCTATATATAAATTTTGGATTATAATCAGCATATGTTTGAAGTACTAATTTAAACATATATCTTATTTGGTGTTACTGAAATAATTTCATAATATGAAAAATACTAGTACTAACAATTTTGCAGTAATTCTAGTACAAAAATTTCAGTATTGGAATTTCTACTTATTTTATGAAAGTGTTTTTTAAATTCATTATTTAATTTTTTTGTTTAAAAAAGTCATACATTTTTGTGTTTATCATTTGTTATTTTAATATAATAGAACCACAATTAATTAATAGGTTCATCTCAGATAATGTGGAACTTAAGTGAATACACTATAATTTTTATACTGTAATTTATAAAAGAAATTTTAAAACAATAGCATGTAAAATGATATGTTTGTTATCTTTTATCATTTAACTTCAATATGAGACAAATCATTCATATAAATACCTACAACATTACAATAGTTTGAAGGATAAGTTTTCAGTTGTACAAGGTAGCATCAGTTTTCATTATTCCAGATAATCAGGTTTCTAATGTACTATATAATTTAAAACTATTTTAACTAAAATTTTTGGGCCTGTAGTTAATTATGTTTTGTCAGTAATAGATTCTATATTTTAAATCAGAAATGAAAATAGAAGAGGAAGCTTCAAAAGAGTGAGTATTTCATTTTTTTATTTTATTAATTAAACAGTTTTAAAAAATAATTGCTTATTAAAAGTTTTGGTTATATTTACATATTATTGCTTGGTAATTGTAATAGAAAAATATAAATTGGTAAAAAAATAATGCCTTTGTGTTCAATCTTATAAAAATACTCTCTTTTATTAAATAACATTAAAAACCTTTTTTTATTTTTATTTTTTTGTAAAATGACAATGAAGAACAGAATTTTGATTTTATTAATAGTAATAGAAAAGTTGTCTCTGAAGAGGAGAACAAACAATACAGTTGTTTTTTTTTATAATATTGTTTTAAATTATATTTAAGATTAACAACAATAGTTTTAAAAATTTTTTTAGTCTTTCTAATCACATTTAAATTAACCAATTTGAATCCTTTTTTATTTATTAGAACAAAAACATTAAAATTATTTTTTTAGAGTAACATAAACATTGCAAAAAATTAACTTTATGTTTTTATTTACTTTGTAAATATTAATGAATATATTAATGAAATAGGCAGAAGATAGCAGTCAATATTGACTGTTGTCTTCTGCTTATTTCATTGATATTTTGATAAGATTTGTTAAATTCTGCCAAAAATTTGAATAACTTTTTATGTTGGAATTTTCATAGAGTTAACACTATTGTTATAGTCTGGTGCAACGTTATTTTCCATATTCTGAACTTATCTTGCTTTTGATATATATTAGCTAAGCATAAACTCATGAGAGTGTAGATAATCAGTGATCTGGGATATTCTGGGATAATCAGTAGCTGGGATATTCAATGATCTAATCATTGAATATCCCAGCACTCATCATGGGATCAAATCCAATCTTAGTTACTATGAAAGATTGTACACAGTTTAAATTACAAAGATCATCTCAAAATTAGTATAAAAAAATTTTGTCTGGTTAAAATATTTGAAGAGATATTGTCAAAAAATAAAAATAAAATGGATAGAGGTTCTCAACATGGTCTTGAGTACATGAAGCCATGCAGAGAATTCAGATTTTCTTACATCAAACTGAAAATTATGCGAGTTTTGATTTCAACAACATCAAAACAAATTGTGATTAATATTTCAAATATGTTGCATAAAATATTTCTATCTTACTGTAATTGATTGCTTATTTTAATATAAGGTTTTAAACTTTTAGTCACCATAAAAAAAATAAATAAGAGATGATGTAGTTTTTATTTTTAATTTTATGGAAATGAAACTTTTTTCTAACATGCAACTCTGTTGTTTGATGTTTTGATATATTTCTAGAATATAATATAATATAAGTAATACCAGTAATAGTAGTAGTAATAGAGTCTATTATAGTTTTAGAAATACATTTCATCCAAAAATCAGATTGCCTGTATATATTTAGGCTATACACAATAAATCATAACTGAACTAAATTTGTTTTAATAAATACTTTAAGGCCAAAGTCCATAAAGTTAGACTAAAACAAATTAATCAAGTTATAAATCATAAATTTAAAAATATTTACTTACATTCATAACTATGAGGTTAAATAAGTCATATTTATACTTGTCTAATTTGAAGAATAAGTTATAACATTACAGCAAGAAATTAGTAAATTTTGATGATAAAGTTCTTAGGTTTATAGTTATTAAAAAATTCACAATCAATCATCATCATGCACTTTTGGCAATTATATATTGGATTAAATGTGGCTGCAAAATGTTTATTCTTGTATATAAATATATCCTCAAGAAGTCTTTTAAATATTTCATTGCTTTTCTTATGACTTTTGTATCTGCATCAAGCAGAAACAGTTTTTTCTTTCTGCAAAATGTGTTTAGAGAGTACAATAATAGTATAAGCTTCCTAATAAGTTGTAGATTAACAATTCATTCATTATAAATTACAAATTTAGATGTTGGTTTAGTGCTGATATTTGTTTTAAATCTGCATTAATACTGAATTTTTATTTAATCAGATCATCATCAGGTTCCTGGTTATCTAATATAAAGCTATTTGGAAGACAGTAAAGATCAAATCAAGAACAGATTTACATTTTGTGAAAATAATCAGTATTGTACATATTTTAAATAAAACATTGATTATTAGTTAAAATATAACATGAAGCATTTATTTACATGTCTGTACATTTACAAATTATATAATTGATATGTTCTCTCATTGAATCGATAAAAATTTTAAATATTCTGAGAAATTTAGAATAAAAAGATGAATTGCATGGTTTTTTACTAATTGAAGATCAGGTTAAACAGTCAATTGCACTTTTTAATACATTATCTACCCTTGCTACTTTTTCTTTTTTTCCTACATCTGGACTTGTCACGGAAATCTTCATGTCCCGAACTGTCTATCTCGGTCTCTGAAGATCCAGAACTATCGGATGAGGAAGAGGAGGATGAAGAAGAAGAACTGGAATCTGTGGAACTTGATGTCGAACTTGTTTCACTATCAGACTCGCTACTATCTTCTGAAGAACTAGCAGAGTTGAATGTCCTAAGTCTGAAATTAATTATTANATAGGATAATATAATTGATAAGGCTTTACATAGCATAACATAATTGATAAGATTTTACATAGTATAAGATTTTTAATAGATTTTCTATATAGTGAAAAAGTACTATCGAAATGGGACCCTAGCTGTGAGATAGAGAGAGTTTATATTTCTGCACAAGGTGATAAACACCTTGATAAACTTGATTGTTGAGTTGAAATTGAGGTCAGACTATCGTAGATTATTTGATGAATGGATGATGAAATTCAAGTTCATTGGGTTGGGCCAAATAGTGTTCTAGCTGGTATAGTTTGAAAGTCCAGTACAAAACAGTGGTGGTCTGGCAAACGGCAGCAGAGGACGGGATCGGCGATGGGGAAGCACGCTCGAATATCAATTCTCAAGGATGTGGATAAGTGAACTCTCATTGTCATCCTCGATGCCATTCTTTTATTTTGGGGATCCTCCCCTTGATTTTGATGCCCATTTTAGGCAATGTTAAGTTTTTTGACCAATAGATGATTTTGGACGAAAGTTCCTGGTGACACATGTTTGGAAGATGTGTCCTCTTTTGAAAGGAAGTGAATCTGGAGAAAGATACAATCACATCCTTCTATTTTTTTTATTGTGTTGGGAAAAATATATTTTTAAATTTTATGTAAAAAAAAAGCTATAATTAATTTTTAAAAATGCATTTAATGTACAAAAACTAATATAATTTTCCTTGTCTGTGCAAAAACATACAAAATAACTGCTCATATTTAGAAAATATCAGATAATGTGACCAAACACATGATAGAATTAGTTGGCATGGTTGAAGAATATTAAATAATCTGAACTAAGTTACGCCATATTTCATTGCACAGAATTATACTTTACTATATAACTATTCAGTGAGCTTTTTATTGACAGCTGAATTGTAAATTATTAATAAAAATTTGAAGGCAAATTAAGATAAATGCTACTTGTTATTATTATTATTTTAAAATTTTACATTTTACAGATCCTTATTAGCACTGGTGGGCCAGTCCATTGAAAAAATTCCACTGGACTGTTTGCTCAGTGGCCATTTTTTACTTTAATATACAGTATATGATATTCACATAATAAAATGTAAATGCTATCTTTTGTATTACATTTTAAAAAATGTGTTGTTTTACTTTAGGCTCTAAGCCACCATGATACAGCCCCTACAAAGAAATGTCCAGTTCACAGGAAATGTAGTTTATTGAAATTTAAAAATGACTAGCTCTGATTTTGATGTGGGTCACCATGGAATGGGCCCATGATCACAAAATGAATAAATTTTAACAGAGCATAGCAAAGGATAGTGAAAGGGACTTATGCTAAATGAGAGAGTAAGAGAGTACTACCCACTCAATTAAAAATTATCTATAAAATCATCTAAACAAAGTTAAATGTTATACTAATGATGAAATCTATTTTATTCACTATCAGTACATGTTATAAAATACACAATAATACATACAAGTATTGTTCCTGAATACTACAAATATGGTAACTAAAATTCAGAGGCATGCTATATGTTTTTGTGCATATAACTTGAACAGGGATATAATTTGCAGAAACTTGATAGAACAAAAATAAAACCTTTGCAAATGTACAGCTATGGTTGTTCCCATAGCTGTGATTAATTTGTAATTATGTTCATGATTACACATTAAAATCAGCATATAACCTGTACACTCTTCACATTAGCTTTTAAACACAGATAGCCTGCAGGCATACACACAAAAATATGGTAGGTTTGTCAATAAAATTCATACTTAATTGAATCCGAGTATTAATTTGATGACCATTGTTTTCAAGAACTAAAAAAAATAAATAAATAAATTGTAGCAGCTCTAAGATAAATTTGTTATGTTCGTGATTCATGATATTTAGCAGTTAAAACTATAATTATTTGTAATATTTTAGCAGTTTCCATCACCATAAATGGAAAACTTATAAAATTTATAAGAAACAATTGTTCTTTACAATTGTTGTAAAGAAGACGAACAGTCTTCTTTACAATTTCTGAAGCACAGCTGCAAATTGATTAAATCAAAGTGAATTAGGAATAATCCTAGGTGTTGCATTGAGTTACATAAAAGTGTGATGATTTTAACTGTCATCCAAAATCTATACTTAATGGAAGCTTTTAAATTCAATTATTCAAGTATAAAATTGAATAAAATTGAACATGATAAGATACTAGTACTGTATTGATTATGTACAGCAATTGAGCTAATGTATCTAAAGGCAGAATTTAATAAAAAGTGAAGATTTTTTAAATTTAAAAAAAATTTAACTTACTAAAAACAGAATATTGATTAAATGAAATTTAATTTGATTCTGTTCTTTTTAAATGTTGTCATCAATGTAGTCTTATTAAATAATAGATTTACTTTTTGTTTTTTAATTTTGATAAATTTCAAATTTAGTTATAGTTTCTATTTTTTCCATTAATACGAATAAATTTATTCCTATTAATTTAAGAAAAAGAAATTTAAATTTCTGTAAAGAAATGCATAATTATAATCATAATCCAGTTTGAGTGAAACTAAATGATTCATGAGCTATTACTAAGATGAGATTAAAACTTCAAGAATATAATTTTTCTATACAATATTTTATAATTTTCTAAAACATTGTTATAGTTTATATAATGAGACTCATTAAAAGCTTTGAAAGAACCTTCTGTGAATCATAGAGTTTGATTCACAGAAGTTTCTTTCAAGGAAGTTGAATAAAGTTTGAAATATTAAAATTGTATATAGAAAATTAGATTAAATCTGGAAGAGAGAGGTTATATTACTGTAACTTTTCAGATCATCATGTTAATATAACTCTTATGAAGTAAAAAAGGAATCAATCATTATATACTGTGTCTGTAATTAATAATTATATAACCTAAGTACTAAGAATTAATGATCTAAATATAATAAATTTACTCAGATATATTTAATCTTTGTAATTTGGTAATACCATAATTAAAATTAATTAGTGTAATTATTAGAATATCTTGAATAATTTATTAAATTTATATACAATTTTATGTAATCCAAACAATAATTTATAAAGCAATTACTACAGGTATTCTATACATCAGAAATTAGATGACTTTAAGTGAGTTTAAACAATTTTACTTAGGAAAATATTTATTTTAAATCTTTAGTTTACAAGAGATTTTTGAAAGCTTTTCTTTTATCAAATAAAACTCGAAAATTATTTAAATAATTTTATTTACGTGAATAAATAATCTTATAAAGCTTTAATCATAGTCTACATAAGCTTTACTGGGCGCCAGTATATTCGGATAGTAACTTTACTAATTCAAATATAATTTTATTTTTATAGAGAAGAGGAAAAAAGGGTAGTTTCGGATATCATTTTGTCTTCATTCCAAAGAAAATCAATGAGATTTAAAGATAAATGTCTGCAACCGAAGAACCAAATGGAGATATCCATTAAAAAAAATTTGATAAAATTGAGAGCAGGAAAATCAGTGAATATAATCTATAATGGCATCTTAAAATTGAACTAGAAAATGAGAATCGTTCAGCTTAAACAAAAATTGAAAGATGCATTATCTACTGCAATATAATTCGAGTAAAGTAATAACATAGTGAAAGGTTTATTTGATGGAATCTTTAAAACTAATGGTCTCTTTCAATGAGGAAATCTATCATACCTATCAATTTTCAAGTGGAATTATTCTTCGGAGAATGAAAAAACTGGAACAAAGTGGCGTCTTTTAAGTAATTTTCAACGTAACTATAGCAAGATATCTTCTTAAAGAGATTTTATCTGTTCATCTACATCAGTTTAATACTTATTTCTAAGTAATTTTCCTTACTTTTAGTTGTTATCTTTCCATTATCAATATCGTATCATCAATTGGGATTTAAGATCGTTATCTTGGATCACGTTTCTTAGCGCTATAATATAAAATTATCTGCACAAAATTTAATTTTTTTACACGTTTTAGCAATTTCAATTTGCAACATTTCTCTCTCTTCTTAGATTGGTAAAATGCGATTTATTTGCCAAAATGAGATACAATTCGTTTGTCATGTTCAAGGATAAAAGCTTATAAGCTTGCACACCGCATTAATAAATATCTATTTCACTTAAATGAATGAAGTTTTTGCATAAAATACAAGTTAAAAATATGCATAAAATACATATTTTTAACAAGTAACTTGAGTGAAAATTTCAAAACCGTCATTCAAAAATCCAATTTTGTATTCAGTATCACAAAGCACATCCCATATACATTAATATCTGTCGTTACTCAACATTCACCATCCTATACCGTATATAGCAACACGTTACTCTGAATTGCGATATATGAAAGGACATGTAACGCATACGATGGCGTTTTAGGTAATATATCATTCTGCAAGCTGTTATAAAGCGTATTAGAGTAACGTTTACAGAATAAATCTACACTTTAATACAAACGGACTCAATCTAAAGATAGAATTTTTAATTTCCGGAATGGGAAAAGCTTCTCCTGTTATTTCAACAAACATCTATTAAAAAATCTAATTTCACTTGCGTTTAGAATTACGATCTTAACAGAAAATTCTAAATTACTTTTACAACAAGACTAGAAAAAAGTCCATTTGAAAAGCAATAATTTTTTAACTGATTTAGAGTTACTAAAGGGTTTTAAACCCGCTTACAGTAAATTATTTCTTGGATTATATTGTATCATATACTTTAAATTAATCTTCAAGAGTTTAGGGATTTCCAAGGATGAAATGAACCATTTGTCTTGATGTAGTTTATAATACGAATTTCATTAAAAAGGGATTTAAAACTCGCTTATAGTATAGGTATTAAGTAAATTTCTTGGATATATTTGCTAGATAAAATTACATGATGGAAAATTTCTAATCCGAAAGAATGAAGATGCATATAGTTTATAACCAGATTCGCGTTACAAACGAGTTTAAAACCCGCTTATAGCATAATTGGGTGATTCAATTTACTAAATCT